TTTAGCCTTTCCTGTCTCCTGCTTCAGCAGCTGAGGCTTTTGGGACTGTCCTGTTGAGGTCACTGTAAATACCCACATTTGAAGCTTCATCTGAGCACTAAATATCTGCCTGATCCTGAGCTCCAGCTTTTGAAAAAGCACGCTGGAATGTTTCCCCTTTGTTTCCCAGATTACAGTACATAGCTGGAGGTAGCATCTCTCCAAGATTGTATTTAGCTGTGCGGTCCTTTTCATACTGCGTACTCAACCCTGTAGGTCTGTTACAGACATAAAGTGAGAGCAGTGTATTTCTTATGGCTCGATATAGAAATCCTCTTTCAAAATGCTTGAACTGAAGAAAATCAATGTGTGCATGAAACACTTTGCAGTAGCTCCCTAGTTTACACAAGTTTGCTCTTCATCTCTGGGAGCATGTAGCCCTCAGCTAGTGAGCATTTTGTTGTACAAGAGAGAAAACTTGGAGACAGTTGTGCTGGAGGTGGTTTTTGAAACTGACTCTTTTGAACTTTATGAATTTTAACTGTGGTTCAGTTTTTAAATTCAGAGATTTTGGTAACAAGACTCTATGCTTTCAAGTTACAAGGCTCCATGCCTGATTTTATGCTGTAAATTGCAATATTTTGCAATTTGTAGTTTAATTTAGAAGGATCACCTACTTTCCTAAATACTTAAGTAATGTGGCAGGCTGTGGTTATTGATTCTCTTGGAATTTATTACAAGAAAGCTGTATTCACTCTTTCCTCTTGGGAATGCCCCTCCTGAACTGTATGCTTGCTAGTGACAGCTTAGGCCCCTGATACATAACCAGAGACCTTGCCTAATATCCTTGCAACTACTTAGGGAATTTTTATTAAGTAAAAACATCATTAAAGTAGACAGAATGATGAAGTTTAATGAGCATCTTTCTCACTTGATATTGTTAGTTTTGCTGCTGCAGCAACCATAGTACTCTCATTCGTTACTTCCAGTGGGGCAGGTGGAGAATGCGGGGAGATTTTGTTTATGTTTATATCTGCATACAAAGAAAAATTTATGTTCATGAGATATATTTGCTTTGAAAAATATATACGAGGAAAGAAAGCAATTGGAAGTCTGTATCTGAGAGCTTTCAGTCTTGCATGTAATCTCCCCTTTCACTTTAACATAATGAGAAGGCTGCATGCAGTACTGTAGCTGCTAAGTCTACAAAGGCTCTGCAGTGTGTGAGCTGTGGTTATAATAACTAGCTTCTGACTGTTGCTGCAAACTGCAAACATCTCAAATATTTATTTGCACTCCAGATTTTATTCTTCAACGGAGGTTTTGGCCTGTGAGCTGCGCATAGTGTCCTTCTCAGAGCAGTACCAGCTCCGTAAACAGGTGACGTTTCAAATCTCAAGTGGGAAGGTGCTGCCCTGTGTTATCAGCACTTATCTCACAAAGCTGCCTTGAGACTATAGCCACAATCTGCCTCGGTATTCCTTGGTTTCTTTATGGAGACAATCTGCTGTGGCTAAGGGTCTAGTCATGCAAACAGTGATGTCAAGGTGCCATCTCCCAGCGCGTTACCATCCGTCAGCAGAGCAGCACAGTTGTCTGTGTGCATGTCATAAGCTGACCTCTGCTGCTGAGGACGAGGTGCAAGTGTCTCTGCCTAACACAGCTGACTTTGCATTGATGCAGAGCAGGAGCATGTACACAGTTTGGACAGCTTGGCTATGGCTACTTCTGTGGCTGCATCCTTCCAGTAGGTATTGAAATAATTAAAGGCTGTGTGTGCAAATTTCACATCTATTACAACCAAAGGGTTATAGGTTCTTGTGGAATTCAGATAGTTACTTCTCTGTGCAGATAAGCTCCATTAGTTTTTATCTCTTGCTTTTTTTCCCTGTGTTTTTTTTTCCCCCTTGGGAGCTATGGAAGTGGTGTCTGTTATTCTACCAAAAGTTCATTGAAAATTTTGAGTTCTCTTTTCCCGAGTGTAACAGAATGCAAATTCTGTCCCAGAGGCATTATCACAGTCATTATTGTATTTAAATGTTGTTGTGACACCATATGTCTCCTCATATTTGATGTATGCAAACACAAGAGAGAGACCCTGTGTGTGAAGGCTTGTATAATCCAAATACATCTGATCCTTGCTCTTTGCGTAGCAGACTCCTGTGATAGACTGTAAAGCACTCATCTTCAGTTGAGATAGCAATGTGCGCTGAAACTTCCTTGACATTTTGCCAAGAAAACCTAAGTAGATGTATTTGATTTGCTTATTTTAAACCCAGTAATTATTTTCCTGGATGAAACTTCGGTGCACATGATGATAGAAGTGGTTGGACGTGAGAATAAATAAAAAGAATGTGAAATTTTCTGTAGATGCCTTCAACTCATGTACATCTATTACTACTGGAGTATTTGCATGGGGCAAAGGGAATCACTGGAGCACCAATAGCACTGAACATTGTGAGGAGCAAATATCAAAGAAATACCAAAAATCCATCCAGGTAAATTGGGATTCTTACATGCAGTGGCCACTGGATCTCATTTCACAGTCAAAAGGCGTTGCGCACGTAGACTTCAGCAGAACTCTGAAGTTCAATCAAAATTGTCAATATTCAGTTTCTGCACTTGGAAAGCATCTGTGTAGTCAGTAGAATCCCCACCACACCCTTTTGCTTTAGGAAAAGTTCACTACCAGAGCTCTGCCAGTTCACAAACTTTGAACATTTGCACTGAGAAAGGAAGAAATGAGAGGCATAACAAATGCCAAAAGGGTCACCTGAGAGGGAAACTCACGTGAAGTTTCCAAACCAAAAAAAGGAGAGCTTAAAGCAACCTGTGCAAAAAGAGGGTATGTAATAGCTGAGAACCACTAAAGCTATTTCAGTCCTCTCTGGGTTGGCACTAACAGGACAAAGGAGCTGTGAGGCAGCAGGATGTGGAAGACAGGACAGTGACAAGGGACTTCTGTTCCCATCTGTGAAGGGTTTTTGTGCTCAAATATGGTGGACCAGTGGATTCTCTGTTAATTCAGTGCTTAAAATCCCAAATGGGGACTTTGTTATTCTATGAAAAAGAGCCAAAAAACAGCTTGAATGTTAATTTAGTATTTAGCTAACTATTGGTGTTCACAGATTTAAGTATACATTTCTGCTTCTCTGTTGCTAACTTCTTGGAGTTACAAAATTATTGCTGACAGTGGTTCAAATGCTGCATTGCATATCATTGAGAACAAGATACTGCTTGTTCCCTGACATTCTCTACCCTGGATCAGTTTCTGATGGGACAACCTCCTTGAATGTCACTTCTGTGCTCTTCTACAGTGATAGTATTTCCTAATACCAAACCATCTCCTTCCATATACTCCCTCCCTCAACTCACTTAATGCCTTCCAAAACAGGACAGTTATTTAGGATAGATGTTTGATTAGTATGCATACTGTGTACTTGGATAAAATACAGTCTTGTGCTGTTGGGGCTCTATCTCTTATGAAATAGAAGAAAAATATGACTGTTGTAGCTAACACGAGGCATGTAGTTATCACAGAGGGTCAGGGCTCTCTGCATTCATCAGGAAATGGCACCTGATCCCTTGTTGACAGTAGGTGATGACACATATAAAATTTCAGTAAGGTGAAGTAATGTCGTAGTTTACAGTTGTATTTTCCTTGAGCAAGGCTGTTTTGGCTACAGTACACCTTGACTGCAGCGTGCTTAGCAGCGTGATGTAAATCTTCAACTGCTGAGAAGGTGAAAGCTAGCACTTCCTCTCCACCCCACCCTACAAGAAGTTCTAATCCCACTCCATGGTCTAGGAACCCCAGGGTTGAAGTATCTTCCAGATATAGCAAAATAAAGCTCAAAGCAGGTGGTAGCTTTTAACGTCCTGACGTATAATTAGAATAGTAAAAAATAGAATAAAGTCACAGAATCATGAAGGTTGGAAAAGACTTCCAAGATCACATGTAATGGTGACTTGGGAAGACAAACACCATCACTCTGAATGTCGCCCCCTTCCTTCTTCCCTCAGCTTTATATGATGAACATGACCCCGTATGGTCTGGAATATCTCTTGCATCAGTTGGGGTCTGCTGTCCCAGCTTTGTCTCCTCCCAACAACTTGTGCACCCCCAGCCCGCTCGCTGGTGGGGTGGGGTGAGGAGCAGAAAAGGCCTTGGCTCTTTGCAAACACTGCTTAGCAAAAACAAAAACATCTCTATTATCAACCCTGTTTTCAGTGCAAATCCAAACCACAGCCCCATACCAGCTACTATAAAGAAAATTACCCCAACCAAAACCTGCAAAGCGCGTCTTCGAAAAGCACATTATGTCGATAAGGGAAGTTAAATTTAAGCTGTGTTTATTTTGGGTAGGTTTTTAATTTAGTTTAATCGGGATTACTCATAAATTATCTATCAATTACTATGTGATATTTAGCAAGATCCTCTCAGCCATGTAGTCTATTTAGCTTCACAGTGAATGCCAGTGTCTTAATTGTAGGATACTTTGTCAACATTTAATCAGTGGTACTTACTAATGTGGCATTGATGTGTTGGTAGCTGTCCCAGTGCTATCAATCATGTGTGAGCAGCAAAGGCTGCTGTGACACCATTGCTCTCTGTCACATTATCAAGCCCTTGGGTTTTCTGGTTAGGGATGATGCTCACTCTGCTCTAAGCAGGCACTCTATCTCTTCAGTTCAACCCAATTTTTATCATTGTCTACTTGAATACACATCCTTGCAGCCTTCCAAGCCTTAATCCCATAACTGCAGAATAAAGGTTGCTAGTTTCTTAAGGCAAAACTGATTGCTCCTTCACTGCTCCAAAGGCCTGCTTTTACTGGTGTTACTACCCTGAAAAGTCACGAAAAACCAAATGTTAATGACTGCAGCGAGATCTAATAGAAAATTCAGTGTGTTGAGACAAAATAAAGATCTTACTTTATTTTTAGTAACTAGATACATTGTTTAACGTGCTGCAGAGTAAAATCCTGTATCACAATTTTTTTTGTCTGATTTCCTTACAGTCTTTATGGCAGACACATGCAGGCAAACCCTGAACCTCCAAAGAAGAACAATGACAAGTCAAAGAAGATCAGCCGTAAGCCTCTGGCAGCCAAGAACAAATAAGTGCCTGGCTTCTGCCTCTGTTTTTATATCTTCTACATTTCTTTTGCATGTGCTTATAATATTCCCTCACATCTTCTGTTGCTTATAAGAAAGCAGAGACTAGAATTAAATGCAATTTACTATGTATACCGCTTTAGAAGGTACTGCTAGAGGGATACAAATTTATATATTCTCCTAATTATGGTCACATTTATGTAGCCATTTAATACATCACTGTCGAACATATTTTAGCTTTTCTATTTATATGTATATTAATGTCCTCTCTTCACATGTGTCACATGCTGTTAATATCAGGGGGTTTACACCTATATTATATGATACTAAATTTCATATTATATTCCAATTGATTTTAATAAAGTTTTTAATTTGTATTGTTGTTTTGGTTTTTTTCAGTAGGACTTCTGAAATAGAAAATTCCTTGAGGAACATAATGTGTCCAGTTTCCTGTAAGGTGTTAATTTCTTCTGTAGGAATGTGGTAGCATTTTATCTGATACAAGTTAGTAAAAATGCAAGGCATTTTGTTTAAAGAGGGGAAAATTTTAATCAGTTTCTTTTTTTTTTTTTAATGTTGCTGTATCTTACTCTTTTTGCCTTGAAGGTTATTTTGAAATCAAAGAGTAGGGAAGGGGAGACAGGAAAGAAAAAAAAAAAAAAATTGTCTTTGTAAAGAGCTGCCAATTGCCAGCCCCAGTTTGGGGAAAGAACTTTGTCATTGAAGAAACTGGTAATTCTGCCAATTTTTAAAGTGATTTTTTTTCTTTAGGCAGAAAACCCAAATAATGTGTTTAATCTCTGCTGAAAGTGCTTATATTGAAGAGCTATTCCAAATGGCTTTTGAAAATGCCACAGGTTCTATATTTATCTATACAAAGCTGGCACTGCAACCAAGCTCAGAAACTGCAAATTGTTCAACAGCTCAAATAGCTTCAGGTCTTACCAGTGGGAAAGGAAAACCTAAAAGCCAGTGATTTCCAAACAGTTTTAGTCTTAGGAGAACAAAAGCTAACGAGGGAACTCAAGAAGCAAGAACAGATATTCATACCTAGATCGCTCGTGTTGGGACCTTCCTGCCCTTGATTTCCAGTTCCATGAATTTCATACCCGAGCAACCCATTGAGAGTCGGCTGCTATCCGGACAGCAAGCTGGGAAGCATGCCCAGACTGCCGAGACAGGCCTGTGGTGTTCAGTGGGAGAAGAAAAGGTTTTAAATATCTTATGCTAGAAGTGATACCTTCTGCAAAAGCCATTTTGTGTCTGAAGATTCTATTATCAGCACCATCCTCTCCAGCGCATTTAGGATTACCCCAGCATTTAAGTAACATGGTTGCCTTAGTCTAGGAATAAATGTATTGACATATATTTTGCAACAGATTTTTTGAATTGGCAAGTGGGGCTAGGAAGTTGGCATCAAGCTTTAGACACATTTTAAGTGGTCTTCAGTACTTCAGAAGAATGAGGCAGTCTTGGTAGGCAGATGGAGAACAGTAAAAATGGTAGACTTGTCAGGAGCAGTCAATTCTATCTGTTGCAAGCTCTGCAGAGGATTTTCCAGACCTCTTAAGTGATTTGTCTAGGGAACAGGTCCAACTGAAACAGGCCCATGAAGGTGTTAGGTTGGTTGCATGCTAAGAATTCCCAGCAAGAACTGGCCCCCATCTGGAATGCTCACAGTTAAATCATCATCATCATCATGGCTGGGCTTCGCGAACAAAGATTTGGGAAGGGCTCTACCCATGTTTGTTACAAGCGTGTTGGTGGCTAAAAAGGCCAATACGAGACAGGCACGTCCGGTTGCAAAAGGCACAGCACAAAGACTCCTTAGGTGGTAAATTCTGCAAGGCACGATTCTTTCTGCGTTGTCTTTTCTCCTCAAGAGTGATCCTGTGTGTGTTCTCAAAAGCATCAGCAGTGTTAAAGATGGTGTTTCTCCAAACCTCCCGATTGGAGGCCAGAGTAGACCAGTGATGAAGACCAATGTGGCCAAGGCTGAGATGTTTCAGGGAGTCCTTGTATAAGTGTTCACAGAGCCATAGTGCTGTCTACTCTCTTATACAGATCTGAATCATGGGTCATCTACTGCCACTACCTGCGACTCCTAGAACGCTTCCATCAACGCTGTCTCCGCACAATCCTAAACATCACTGGTCGGATTATGTGACCAATACATCTGTTCTAGAACAAGCAGCAGTCACAAGTATTGAGGTCATGTTGCTGAGAACACAGCTGTGCTGGGCAGGGCATGTCTCCAGGATGAAGGACCACCACCTCCCTAAGATCCTGCTCTATGATGAACTTGCCACCGGCTGCCGCAAGAGAGGAGCCCCAAAGAGAAGATACAAGGACTTACAATTAAATGTTATGTAGGCATTAACACGTGAGGAGACCTAATGACAATAATAATTGTGCTACAAGAAGTCCTGATGAAATGACAGTGAAATGTCAGAAGATCCCCAAACTACTATTACAGATTTTTTTGGAAACAAAATAAATAGCAAGGGCACATTTATCAGGACAGGGTGAAGAGGCTGTAGACTCTTCCCTGGCACTGAACACTACCCAAGCCCTCCCTCGAGGGTGGCACTGTCCTCAGGGTGGAGCCACTGCTCTCCTGACAGATCCTGCAGCCGTGGCTAGACAGCTTCTTTGAGGCTTGAGGATGTTTTACGTACGCTCACTTCCAGCTGAACTGGATTCACCCCTCTTCTGGAATCTCCTTGGGTATGCCCGGACATGGTTGTCTGTAAGCGGGGCAGCATTATGGCTTTCCTTTGACTTGAACAGAAATCCAGCCAGAGCTAAAGGCTCAGGTGGTATCTGAGACTGTGTCTGTCACCTGCTGTGTCCTGGGGTTTGGAAAAAAAAAAGAAGTTGCTACAGGGCTACAAGGGTTTCAAAACATGGAGTAGAGTCTCTGATGTAAAATTAAAAGCTTGTTGGGGAAGGCCTGATGATGTTATTGGTGGGAAGCTACAGCACTGCTTTAAAATAAGCTTATGATTTTCAAGCATTAGTCAGACTTCCATTAACTGCAGTTGCAAATTTTGAAAGTGTTGAAAGACTCATGCAATCTCTCCTCTGCAGGGTTTCGAAGTATTGATTGGAGCATTCCTGGGTGTTCATAGCAAAAAAATCCGCCCAACCTTCCCACTTCTTCCCTCATGAAGGAGGAAGAAACACAGTTTTGACAAGCAAAAGCAGGAATGAAGGGTCTGGGGAAGAGTAAGTGAAAGGCATAAAGATGTGAAGGATAAAAGAAATCCTAAAGGGAGAAGTATTATACTGAAGATGGTGGCAGATGGGGGAAAAAAAGAAGTTTCTTGAAAAGAAAGATGAAAAAATAAGATAATGTTCTGAGAAGACGATGAAAAACTGCAATGCATAAAGCTTTACAAACAGAAAACAAAATGGGTAAGGAGTAGCTCTTCAGAGGCTCAGGACAGAATAAAAGACAAGGGGAAGAAAAGCAAACTTTGTGGGTTGTAACATGCTAAGGTCTTAGAGTTTTTAAAAAGGTACCAGCTTCTTAGAGCAAACTACACAACAGTTTTAATGTGTGATGATTTTATGTATCTGTTCTCTAAAGTCATTGCTTTTTTAATATTTAAAAACAATGTTTTATTTTACTGGGTCACAATTATTTCACCACTGAACTTCAAGGAAAGGAACTGCTGTTTTCTACTGTGGTGAACCAGTTAATGAGCACTGCAGCTCGTGATGGTCCCTTTGCTGGTCCCTGTAGTCACTTCTCCAGAGGATCCATCAAAGTGAGGCCCCTTCCAGTGAGCCCTTGGGTGCTACCCCTAGGTGAGCATGGGTGTTGTGCCAGTGGGAGCACCAAGCTCTGGAAAGGCAACTCTTTGGTCTGCTGGTCAGTATTGTTTCACTGGCCTAGTTGACAATGAGATCCCTGGTCTCGGGGTGCCTTGAGAAGAACATTTTTGCCATCCATTCTTATGGTCACTTGTTCAGATGCCTCTTTGGGCCACCCTCTGATAAAGCCAACAGCTTGCCACTTCAAGGGGAGAAAATTATTCCTGTGAAGAGGAAATTTATTTTTTATAACTTTCCAGTATGTGGGGGCTCTTTGAAAGCAATTAAGCTGGTAATTCTCTGTTTGATTTTGCACATGGTGAACTGGAAAGAGTATGGCTATTTTTTTTGCATACAGTGCAATGCACTCTTACAGGGGAAACTTTTTTAAATTACCATAAGATGGATAGGATGTGCCTGTGCAAAGAGTGACCTGGGAAATTAATTCTCCTTGCTAAGATAGACAGAATGGAGCCAGAAAACCTGCATGTGCATGCACCATCCACACTTTTCTTGTACTTACAGTACATTATTGCCTCCTGCAGTCCTCCTGATGGACAGGTAACAGTTAAAAACAAACAGACAAACAAACAAACAAATCTCAGCTCTGGGAACATGGGCACTGCTGTTAGTCTCTTTCCTATTTAAAAAAATATGTGAGGAACAGCACTGTGATTCTGAAGTTTTACCTTTTTATGATTGTTAGTCTGGGAATATGTTTCCAATGGAGTCCCTTTGCATCTTTATTTTGGTTTTAGTCAGGTCTTTCCTGTTAAGGAAATGACACTGTAGCATCTGTTCATCAGTTAGCTTCCAGCCTTACATCTGGCAAATCACACCAGCAGTATGGGCATTTCTCCTGAAATGGCAGCTTGTTTGGAGGTATGATCTGAGCCAGCGTGGCCCTCGCCTCTCCTCCCTCCAGCACTGCCTGTGCTCCCCATCCTCCTCCTCTGGGCTCTCCCCACCGTGGTGCAGTGCATGGGGCTAGATCCTGGGCCCCTGGAGGATCTGAGGAGAGAGAGGAACCTTCCTCCTGTTCTGCCAGACCCTCTGCTCCCAGGGAGCTGAGTGAGGTCAGGAGGCATTTCCAGCCCCGGCAGCACTTGGGTGTTCCACACTGGCTCATGGCTTGGTGCTGGTATGAAAGCTGGGAGGGCGAGTCTGTGTTGTCCCCACGCTTGCTGAGCAGCAGGAGCTCCAGAGATGGGTAATATTTCCAGTTTGAAGCGGGTGGTAACTGTTAATATCCTCATGACAACCAGGAGGAGTGAGATTGTCATCGGTTATATTAGTTGTTAATTTTGTAAATATTAACAATTTCTAGGATTATGGCACAGGATGTGAGCTGTCAACTTGCTTTATTTTCCTCCTACTCCTTTTTGTAATGACACATCTTTTATACTCCCAGATTCGTGCCATGTATTTGTTACTTTGCACTGACACCAGGGCTGGCAGATGTTCTGGGATGAAACCATGATAACTTCCCAGAAGTTAGATTTTCTTCCCCTCCTGGGTACTTTGTTTCCCCTGATCTAAGGAGAAGTAATTTGCCTGT